TGGAAAAGAAGCCTTCACTGGGAACCCCGACTGAGTGGCTTTTTCCCCTCATCACTGGCATCATAGCCAGATTGCTTGCTCTTTTTCCTCTAGACCAGTGGTGTCGAACTGTGGCCCTCCAGATGTTCTTGGCCTTCAACTCCCAGAAATCCTGGCCAGCAGAGGTGGTGGTGAAGGCTTGTGGGAGTTGAAGTCCAAGAACACCTGGAGGGCCACAGTTCGACACCACTGCTCTAGACCTAATCCACGCCATGGTCCAGAAAAGAAAGCAGAGACTGGTGATTGTTCTCACCACTGGTATTGTTCACGGCTATAAAATCATTTGGTCTGATAGATTAATAGGCAAGAGCAGCAAAGTTGAGGAGAAGGATTAAGTGTTCTGGGATCAGCAGTGTTGCACCCATGATGACGTGGGCCACAGCAGATGCCCAATAATGCCAACCCTGATACTCGTCCTGACCCACGCCCTCCTGCACAGGCCAGGACTGACACCCAAAATAAAGTATTGTGACCTATGAGGCATTTTTATCCTTTAAAAACATTCCTTTTTCTTCTTCTTAGAACTGTACAACTGGATAGGACCCTATGGATCTTTGAGTTCAGCCCGTCAAGGAAGCACAGTGTGGAATCAAGCTCCCAAGCTCTGGCTCCACAGTCAGAGACCTAAACCACTGAGCTATCCAACACCTCTTTTTTATTATTATTCATAGAGCGTTGCACAATTTAACATTATGGACGTGATGTTAATTATAGGTGTAGGTGAAATATAAAGTTCAAACAAAATTAAAATGTTAAAATGATTAGAATATTTTTGACTAGAAGCTGGCTACTTCAAAAGCATTATTTTGTCCATTTACTAGATCTTCTTTAGTACACATGATGGGGTATAAATTGCATGCTCAAAAATGCTGTGTTGATTGAATTTCTCTATTTTCACAGAAAATTTGTCCTGCATCCAAAAGCCCCATTTTACTTTATTATTCTTTAATCTTCCTGCTTCAGTTCCAAGTCTATTAAGTGGCTTCCAGATGGTCCAGCTAGTCTTTACTTGGTGGGAGACATTCTTCAGCATTCATCCATTCAGCAAGGTGAGTTGTTTTTGTTCTCCTTAGATTTAGCTTAGTGTTTTCTGGTTTAAAATTTAGAGCTTGAGATGCATACAGAAGACTTTTCCTCAATTTTGACCATCATCTAGGGAGTTAGGGTCCATGAAATGGATGGATTTGGTACTGTATTACCTTATTTCATTCATTATCTGCTAGCACCTCTTGAGATACTTCCAGAGGGGCAGTGCCAAATATTTTTTTCAATGAGTGTAGATATCAGGAAGCCAGTAATAATCCTGCATGATTCATTAACAGCTAGTTCCACTTTTTTGGCATGTGCTGTTTTATACCATGTGACAACAGCATATTCTGCTTTGGAGAAGCACAGAGACAAAGCCATAGTAGATGGCTTCTTAAAGCAGAATGATATATTAAGTGATTTATATATTGATGTTCCTATATACACAGCCAGTTCAACCACCAAAATTTATTTTTTATTCTATTTTTATTTAATCAATTTATATGCCGCCCACACTACCCAAAGGTCTCTGGGCGGCTTACAACATTTAAAATACAATAAAAATTCATAACATAAAAAAATATAAAAATTGCATAGACCAGATGGGCGGGATACAAATCAAACAA